ATTGTGTGTGTGTTAACTTTCTCAACATTTTCACTTGGTACATCTTGGGAGTTCTAATTCCCTTGGAGTCATTTTCAAAAAAATAAAACTAAAAATAATAAAAGTCGCACGCACTATGAGACTGAATGTATCAAGTGATGAATTATAAAATTATTGATGGCTGTTGCTTTGCTGGATCGCGGGTGTGAGGTGTCGCTTCTTTGTCCTCGCTGTGGTTTGCAGGATGAGTCTGTTGTGCATTTTTTTTTTTTTTCTTGCCCTCAATCTATTCAAGTGTGGAAGTTATCTCCGATGCGTCTTGATTTTTCAGAGTCTTCTTTTTCTTCTTTCCGAGTTGGCTGGAGCTTTTTGGTGCGTCGGGCTATGATCTCCTCGGAATTTGCGGATGTTCTTAGCCTAATTTCCTTTCGTGTTTGGGGTATTTGGAAGGCCAGTAATCGGTTGGTCTTTGAGGGGATTTTATGGCAGCCTGAGATTGTGGTGCAGAAGGCTGTTACCAGCTTTTGGGAGTTTCATGATGCTCAGTCCCTCTGTTCTTCATTGCAGCCAGGGCCGGCTAGTGCTTTGGTGGATTCGTGGAATCCTCCTCCATCTGGAATTGTTAATTGCAATTTTGATACTTCTTTTTGTTGGCAGTCTTTGCAAGGGGTGGTGGCCCTATTTTGCGTGATTTTCAGGGTGAAGTGCTTCAAGTGGTTATTTTTAGTTCATTTTCTGATGCTTCATCTTTGGAGGCGGAAGTGTTGGTATGTCAGCGTGCTATCATTTGTGCTTTCGATTTAGGATTTTCTTATTTATGGTTTGAATCGGATGCCAAAGTTGTTGTTGATAGGGTGTTCTGTGGAGTGACTTGTCCGTCGAAAATTGTTTCTAAATATTTTGACATTAATCGGGATTTGAGGTGGTTTTCGTATGTTACTTTGACTCATGTTCGTCGCCAGAGTAATCGGGTGGCTTATGCTTTAACAGTTCTTTCGCGGCCTGAATTTGAGTCGGATCAACTATTATCTTCTCTACCTCCTTCCATCGTCCCTTTCGCTGTGGCGGATGTTGAGTCTTAGTTGTTTGGCTACAATATTTTTTTTATTCTTCAATGCCCCGTCCTCTGGGTCGGTCACTGCTCTTGACGGCATTACTTAAACAAAATACAAAATGTGGTAATGACATATGTGGTAATGATATGACCGTAACGAACTTATTTTTACTTTTTTTTATACTTTCACTAGAATATAGAGATTTTTTGCAATGGGTATCCACCCATTTAAATATGAGTTCAATAGAGGAGGACAAGAGACTATTGCTTCGGTATATGCTATTTCGGATTTTGCTTTTGTCACTTCTAGAACACAAAGTTTTGATTATGTCCCATTTAATATGACGATGACATGATATATATATATATATACTACATCATTACCAAATAAGACAGAATTTATCCAAAAGAGCCAAAAGCTAACATGGAAATTTTGGCTCAAATAAAGGCAGGTAAATAACAATATTATCATTTTATTATTGAAAAAAAAAACCTCGAATCATAAAAGGCACATATGTTAAAAAATATATAATAATAATTAAATAAAATGCCTGCCAAGTGGTTCATATATATATAAATAAAAAAAAAAAGAAAAGAATATTAATTGAATTTTCAATCAGATTGATGGGTATAATAATAATAATAATAATAATAATAAAATTTTGTTATGTACTAAACCACAAAAATCACTGTTTTTGTTGGTTTATATGCTTTCAGCTTTTCATAGAGAGTACCATTATCTCATTCCTTTTCATAATGTGTTTAATGGATATGCCTTGTGTGACAACAGGCTGTGACCTTTTGGTGTCACAGACTCATTCCTCACCGTTAATATTTGAAATGAAAGAAGTTTAGCAGGACCCACTGATAAGACTGAAACTGACCATTATGGTAATATTCAGGAGCAACCATGGTGAGTGCAGGATTCCAGATGTTTGTTAACAGTACTGGCAAGTTTATATGATGATATCATTTCAATCCCTTCATAAATAGGAGGGTTAGCAAATTTTGATTTCTAAGTCAACCCTTTCCTTCTTTTAACAAGCTTCTTGGGGAATCCGGCTCCCCTCCGGTGGAGGAACCAGTACCACTCGTGCAACGCAATATATCGTACTAGTACAATAGTTTTGTGATGAAATGTAATACTATAAAATAATAATGTAATACAATTATTATATAAATGATGTAATTTTTGGCATAAATAATGTAAATACATAGGACGCTGCAGATGATAAAAGGTACATAAAAGGATTCGAGTTTCTTCTTGGAGATCAAGGGCTTGAGAGGCTCAAATGTTGAGGTGGATTGAGAATAGACACACACTCAGAAGTGCCGTGTAGTCACATAGCCGAGTTGCTGGAACATACAAAGAAGTACAATTACTTTTTTACAAAATGGAATTCTAATGTATTGGTCACTTGGAATAATAACATAATGTTTTATAAAACATACATCCAACTCTAAGGTGCAATTTAGTGACTACATTCATGGTAATGTATATAAAATGAGTAATTTTTTGGTATTATATACACTCTCTCCGTCTCATAATAGTTGGGTGCTTTAGGAACTGTGACTCACATCTCCCAAAGCACACAACTATTATGGTACTTGTGTCACCATGCCTCCATTTTATTGTACTTGTGTCTCGTGTCCATATACATGCTTCTAGGTTCGAATCCATCGATATCCACTACGTAACAAGTCCCTCCCTATCTCTTGTAATATCCTGCAAAATTAGAACCAACACAAATAGGAAACATTTTTAGGAAATTGGTAAGTGGGTGGGGAATATTTACAAGAGCACACACCAACAAGAGTATCATTAAGTAACCAAATAAGGAAAAAAGGAAAAAGAAAAGAAAAAAATCTCAATAATGATTACCATAAGAACTTTAGCTTGCAGTCAGTGGTCCTTGTCATGTCTTTCTCTACCCCTTCCTCTCCCTACCTGCAACTGCAGCAAAAATGTTAAAAAGGGATGAAGTGTTTGAGAAGAGATTCGCTCTTTATTCCTCTGCCACATACAAGTGAGAGGAGAAGAGAGATTTACAGTGCTCTCTCTCTCTCTCACACACACACACACACACAATGTTTTCTTTTTTAAATGTGTGGTCACATCTGATCCTTTCTTAAAGAAATAAAAGTTGAGTGTGTGGGGAGAGGGATCAGAATATGACTTTGTGTTTTTCCCTGGCATAGATTGTGATTCTCTTTTTCCTATCACTGCCTCCTATATGTGTTGATAAGAATCCCACCCTGGACAGTGATAACCCCCTATTTATTCCATTTCCTTCCTCGGTTAGTACCTTTCAAAAAAAAAAAAAAAAAAGGAAAGGAAAAAAAGAGCAATAAATCTTTGTTTATATTATTGGTTTTTATAGAGCATAAAAATTGATTATAAACCTATAAAAAAAATTATATCAGCAAACCACCAATACAAAAGTGAGATATTTTTACACAGTCGGACGTTTTTGTACATTTTCTCTTATTCAATACAATTTACCTTCGGGAATATAAAAATATATATTTAAATGTTCCTGGCCAATCATAACTCGACAAGCAAACAAATACATCAGCTTAATTTGCTTGCATGTGTGACACCGAACAAATAGTAACCAGAAGGATAGAAGGGGATGGCAATGAGAAGATGAGATGAGGCTAGATAAAGGAGGTGATAAGATAGATTGGAGGTATGTTAGAGAGATTGAGAACAAGAACAAGGAGGGAGAAGAGACATAGGATTTCCAAATTCACTAAATATAATTCAATAATCCAAAGTTGACTAGGTTGATTACATTGTAGCCTTTATATAGGCAACACATAGGGAGTTCCAAATTCACTAATATAATTCAATGTTCCCGGCCAATCATAACTCGACAAGCAAACAAATACATCAGCTTAATTGCTTGCATGTCTGACGCCGAACAAATAATAACCAGAAGGATAGAAGGGGATGACAATGAGAAGATGAGATGAGGCTAGACGAAGGAGGTGAGAAGATAGATTAGAGGTATGTTAGAGAGATTGAGGGATTAAGAACAACAAGAACAAGGAGGGAGAAGAGACACATAGGGAGTTCCAAATTCACAAATATAATTCAATAATCCAAAGTTGACTTGGTTGATTACATTGTAGCCTCTTTATATAGGCAACACATAAACAAACCCTAAAACAATAAAGTACTAAAATATCCTAAAATTAAAACAAGACTAAAAATAACCATAAGCATAAATAAAAATCCTAATTTACTCAAATCCCTAATTCTATCTTTCATTTCCCCTTCTCCAATGGTAAGCGCAGGTCATATGTGGTTCTAGCTCTAGGGTCGTGCCTTGTTCTCCATCAGTGTTTGAGTTGTGATTGGCCAGGACCATGTAATAATTTCTCTACAAAAGCATTTTGGTTATTTCTTTTCCCAGCTAGTTAAAAAGAAAAAAGTACTATAGATGTAGGCTATTTCAGAATTTACAATGTTGAATAGTATTAAGTATAATTTCTACTGTTTCTGGAAAGTATTACGGCCAAGATACCATGAGAGAGAGATTGTGCTAGAGTAAAATGGGTAAAACTTACCTCACTAAGCTGGGATAA